GTGCACGTGAGCCACTAGTGGGTAACAACCGTCACGTAACACTCTAAAGCAATTTATTTCTTTTCATCTATTGTATTTTGTTCTGTGCACAGTTATTTTAGCGTAAGAGCTTATGTTCAGCAACTAAGGAGATAGTTTGCCATGCTTGCTTTCCGAGAGCTGGGGCCTTGGAGAGGGTTGTGAGTGGGAGGCAAAGACAATCCCATCTTTCACTAACCATGATTGAATGAAGAACATCTATCCCGCACAAGCGCACCATACTCTTGCATCGAAGCTCTGAGTAAAAGTCGAATCAATTCATTTACGACCTGTTTGTGATTAAAGAACCAGTACAGCATACCAGTAGTTTAATCGATTACGACGAATCAAAATTAGTTGTGACATTAGTTCTTGTACATCATTGTTGACAATATCTGAGTGATCCGCCCTATGATCTATCTGTGGCTGTACACATCTTCTAGAAAGCTTGGATACCGGATAATGATCGTTGTGGTTACTGCGCCTCCTATTAACTTTTCTATACTGGGTCCACCGGGTCCACCAGGTCCTGCTGCTTGGCTCCTGCCAAGAATTTAGTGTACTCGGTACAAAATTTAAAGTTTCCATTTCAGTGCTGATTGACAGATCCGCAGAAGAATCGCATAGACGGCGGGAATAGTATGAAATTTAGACGTTAAATTTCCAATATCATTGGCGACGATCTTCATTAACTCCCTCAGACATAGGATATCGAGGCTATTTTACCAATGGAACCAAACTTTCGATATTCGGAGCTCCTGTCTTTTAGCTTCATTCAGTTGTGCCGATACGAGATTTCAACGAGTTTCCCCACGATATTTTTACGCAAATACGAACCCCGTCAACTATTTTCTGACTAAACTTACTCGTAAGGTTACAAGCCAAGACTTTTTGGAAGCATGATTTTTAAAGCTGTGTACCTTTCTCCACTATCACGATATCTGGTGATGCTTTTTCTTGGTGAACAACCCCTGATTTCAAGGCCAGCAAACATGGTGGATTTTCCTCCGCCGGACCTAGCAAAACTGGATAACTTTATCTGGGAAAGTGTTTGCCGGCCACGTTGAACTCTAACCGAACAAACATCAATGTACCTCGAATTCATTCCTATTTTTGTATGTGAGGCTCTTGGCCCGCTAAGCTTCCGAAGGAAAAACTTTGGTAGCTAACCATTACAAGTAAACTTTTGGAACCATTCAACCGGTACGAGATTTTGTGGGTAACCGCATAATAAAGAACATGTATAGAAGATGACGCAGGGGATTTCATGGGCATGTAGAAAGTCGATAAGAATTTCGATTATATAAGACCTGGAGTTCAGCTTTTATTTTTCCTAACTCAAACTCTCAACTTCCTCCCTTCAACCCTATCAGTACTTCATACTTTCAATCCCCAACGTAATACATATCAACAGCAAACAAATCTTGGATCTTTCAGTATGCATTTCCAAGATATAGCTTTCGCTCTCTTTGCTTCTGGAGCATTCGCTGCACCAGCTTCTTTGGTAGCTAGAGATTCATGCTCAGATGCTTGCTACAGTGCCTACAACACATGTCGCGGTGCTCCAGATGCCAATCGATCCAGTTGCGCTTCCTCTTTCGCATCATGCCTTGGATATTCTCCATATGATAGCAATGGATCCCTCGTCACTCCAACTGCATGCTCCAGCCCAGTAGCATCCTCCACCACCACCGCTGCTCCAACCACTACAGCTGATGCGTGTGTATCTCAATGCAACACATCATTCAACAGTTGTCGAACTGCTCCAAATGCGAATCAATCCTACTGTGCTTCCTCCTACGCTTCGTGCCTTGGATACTCTCCATTCGATAACAGTGGATCCCTCGTCACCCCAACTGCCTGCTCTAGTTCAGTAGCATCCACAACCGCCGCTGCTACAACCCCTACAGCTGATGCCTGTGTATCTCAATGCAATGCGTCATATAATAGCTGCCGCAGTGCTCCAGATGCAAATCGATCCTATTGTGCTTCCACATACGCTTCATGTCTTGGATATTCTCCTTTCGACAACAGCGGGTCTCTAGTCACACCAACCGCATGTTCTAGCAGCCCCGTCACTACTTCTACCGCAGCACCAACCCCTACAGCTGATGCCTGTGTATCTCAATGCAATGCGTCATATAATAGCTGCCGCAGTGCTCAGGATGCAAATCGATCCTATTGTGCTTCCACATACGCCTCATGTCTTGGATATTCTCCTTTCGACAACAGCGGGTCTCTAGTCACACCAACCGCATGTTCTAGCAGCCCCGTCACTACTTCTACCGCAGCACCAACCACTACAGCTGATGCCTGTGTATCTCAATGCAATGCATCGTACAACAGCTGCCGCAGTGCCCCAGATGCAAACAGAGCCTATTGTGCTTCCACATACGCCTCATGTCTTGGATATTCCCCCTTTGATAACAGCGGGTCTTTAGTCACACCAACTGCATGTTCCAGTAGCCCCGTTACTACTTCTACTGCATCAGCGACTAGCATTTCCGGTATCCCAGGTGGATGTAACCCAGCTCACTCTGGATCCTGCCCAAGCTCCTATTTCAGCACTGTTACCACAACCACTGCTCCACTTGCCGTCGCCACTGGAGCTGGTGGAGATCAAACCTCAGTTGTTGAAGGTGTTCAGTGGACTGTTAAGCAATTGACCAGATACTGTTCCGAAGACGGATCTGGATGTGATTACAACTTTGTCATTTCAACAAATGATGGCCGCGCTGACGAGAGATGTACTGTCATTCGTATGCCAGGAAAGGATGCTATTACTGAGTCATGGTTTGAAATCCCATGTACTACTGGATCTGCCAATACCATCTCTTGGGGATATTCTGACCAATTCGGTGCCGAGAATGCATTCGCTGTCATGACTGTCACCAACAACCAGTCAAAGACCAACGCTTATTTCGGTGTCGCAAATGTCAATGGAAACCCAGTTACCCCTTCAAGCCCAGCTGGCTCCGGTAACTTTGGAGACATTGGTCCTCAACCAGTTTACACTTTCTAAATGGTAGACGATTTGGTGCTTTAGCTTAATGAACGGAGATAGACATGTTTTGGATTTACTGCGTCATACCACATTCCTTTCTGTGTTTTATATTAACGTTGTTTGATTTAGTACCCGGAAAAACATCTTGTATATAATACACTCATTAGACATAATCAATAATCCAATCAATAATTATTTGAATTTAATTATCCTCTTCTTTGGTCAACTTTAGAATATGTTTAGATTGATATTTTTTCACGTTTGTCTACATTTATCTTAATAGATTAGACTCAATAAGTCCCCTACTTTATATTCCGACCACTCCCTCATTCCCATCATTCTTATAGGCTGCGCAGCGGCGCTACATGGGGATTATTTCCTTTGGTGTGTAACCCGCAGATAACCCATTTACTGGGTGGGTTATTAGAAAAACTGAATGGGTAATCCGTGAATAATCTGAGATAATCTGCAAACAATCTGTAAATAATCTGTAAATAACATTTTACAGATTTTATAAAATCCAAATGGATAGTCCGCGGAGCAGGTTATAGGTCTAATGGGTCACCTGCGGAGCGGATAACCCGTGGACATCTACAATCTGTAGATTAATTTTGTGAAATCTAAGTCTTATAATCTTATATAAAAAATTTTGATTTTCACCTATTAATAACTTTATAATAAATTAATATAATTCAATGAAATCTGGATTACAGATTGATTCATTATATAATATTACAATAATACTAAAGTGTTACGATGTAACAGCTGATCTGTCCATATGAGCTTGGACCATGTGGAAAAGCAAGTAGATTCACATACAAAACTATATGGCAATTGACTTATATGGTCTCCCCACCCTAAGCAAGCATAGACATCGAATCTGATCGAAAGCACATGATCAAGGATTCCCACCGAGCCTAGGAATCCCACTATAGTGGGAAATATTCCTATCTTGATGGGATGATAGAGGGCAGTGGGATGCATAGTACGAAGGTCTATATAACTGGAAAGAGTTTCCTTATTGTAGAGCTTCGTGCTCAAGATCAATCATTTAGTATACTCTACTATTAGTTATAAATTGCATATCATTATTGCCCTTACTTAAGTCCCTGCTTGACGCCTAGTTATAAACCACCTCGAGAGCCTAGAGCACTTCCACGTGATCTAGACGGCAAACCTCGTAACATAGTGTTCTGTATATGTTGGTACGAGAAGGATACGGAAGACGTAGCACCCACGGATTACGTAGGTCCTGTATGTCTAATTGTATTCTGTCTAAAGAGCTAGCTACATATTGAAAGTAGTAAGTCTTATATAGACTTACTAAAAGAGCTAGTCTCTTTCGCGTTCGCTTAGTTCTTTATTACAGTAGTAATTGAATTGAAGTCATTCACTTCGTTCACACACTACCCCTCGAAGAAAACGATATAAACCTACTCAACTGGATAAAATCAAAGAATCGATAAACCAGGACTTCAACCCTTCCTCACTCGAAAAGATCATTCATTTTAACTTCCCCCCATGGAAAAGAGAAACCCCCTTCCGAGTTAACATTAGCAATTCGTCAAAAGAAGATGCTGCCATTCTTCATAATATTGTTTTCAAACATAGGGATAAAGATACCACCTATATTTACACTGATGCCTCCTCCACCGAAAAGGGAATAGGTATTGGAGTAGGCATAGTAGCTATACAATCAAATAATCGAATTCTATATCAAGAGCGAAGCAATATTGGTACTAATCAATTGGTATATAATGGAGAGCTTGTTGGAGTTACAAGAGCTATTGAATACGCTAGCTCAATCGTTTATACTGGTCAAAATTTATTTATTTATTTATTTATATTGATTAACGTCTACTTCGAACCTCCCTTGGGGTATTGAGACGTGCTAAGATAAGGAGCTTTTAAGCGGCGTGATCGTCGCAGCCAAATTTAACAGTTTAACTTCAGTGCCAGGGGCTGTTCGCTCCTTTGCGTGTATGATCCTCTTATAATAAAAGGGCATGTCTGATCTGGGTTGTTGTTAGGGTGGGGCTTGGTTCCCGGGTGAGTAGGCTCGATGAAGGCTTTGATCCCTTGACTGAAATGGGGGAGAGCGGGGGTGGATTGCTGTTTGGTTAACTGAGCGTCAGCGCTCTTGCACTGTATGTTGGGTTTGTGTTTTGCGGTTTTGAGAGGTAATATGTATTAGAGTGATCAGTTGAGTGAAGAGTTAATGAGGGGAACAGGCGCTTTGTTGAAAAGGTAAACCTTTTTCCGAGGCCCTTTAGTAATTGGGGCAGATCTGAGTATAGAATTCCGAGTCTACAATCAGTTGAGTGAGCTTACTGGGTGTATATAAGAGTTTTTTAATATATGTGATCGCCTGTTTGTCGGAGCGTATCTCTGTTGGAGAGAGGGGCCAGTTTGAGCGCTTTAGATTGTTTATTGCGCATCTGAAGAAGTGATATAGTTCTGTTGACCTCCTGGGATCTTGGCAGCATATGCATATATAGTACATATGCATATAAGGAGCAAACAAAACTCAACTTTTAATTCATTCTTTCCTTTTTGGTATACTGTTTGTTTGCTTTCAATATTTTGATTTCAAAGCACTTTAATTCCGAAGGCCGAATACCCAACCTATTCCTTCATTTTTTGAATATATACTCGCAGCTTAACTGCTCAGCTAGAAAATCAGTCAATTCAATCTGATGCTCTTTCTAGTCTCAAGAAACCCAACAGGTTCTTTTTCCATGCCGCATGAGCAGTCTTGTTTGCTGTTTTGATGCTTGAAGCGTTGGTGATATGCAGCGTAATCGCCATGACCTGTTTTCATAGCTAGTAGTCGATGAAGAACTCCTCTGGGTAGAGCTAGTTCTTTCGGCTCCTTTGTATTGTAGTTGGGAGACCACTTTTTATAGCTAGACGAGAGGGAGGCAATTACCTCTTTCCACCAGTCAGTCTCTGCTCGCAGGCACTTTTTACGAAAGATCGTTCGCACACCACTGATCGTGGGTAACTTGTCGGCCGCTTGATCCATGGGTCCAACTGCTCCTGCATTCGCTAGGCGATCCGCCTCCTCATTGCCTTCGATCTCCATATGTCCAGGGGACCACTTTACTCTGATATTGAGTTGTCTGATTGCCTTGTGGCACTTGTGGAAAGCCCATTGCGATGTAGGCGGCGCATCTCCTCGCATACCCCAGATGACTGATGTGCTGTCGATACACATCCAGATCCTACCGTTTGGGGGACCTGCGAGTGTGCTGATCAGGTGCTCCAGTCCGCGCCATGCTCCTATCGCTTCTGCATCGAACACGTGTGAGTCGCTGTGGATCTGTTTGTATCCGGTTGCTATTTGAGTGCCGTTGCGATAGATCGCGTAACCATAGCCAACGTGGTGCTTGCGATCTATAGTCTGCTCGGATCCGTCTGAGAAGATCGAGTAGTCCTCGGGCGGGAGCTTTGGCCACCACTCCTTAAAGGCCTGTGCTGCCTCTTCCTTGGTTCGCCCTTCTGTAGGATCGGTTCTGCATCCTGGCGAGACGTGTGGGCGGAGTAGTTTCGGCCGTTGGGTTTCTGGGATGATCAGGCCGAGCCGCTGGATCCTTGTGAGAGGCCCTCTAGCTGTGCCAGCCCCTCGCTCTCTTTTTCCGTATAGTGGGCTTCAAGCGGCTCACTAGCAGGTGCCTGCTGTCGATCGTTTGTAAGCGGAGAGCGAATCTC